GAGATGTAATATAAAAAAAATCCTGTTCTAACTATTAAAAAAATTCTTTGCAGGTGGCAAGCCCTCAAAGGAGCTATTGACAGGTACCGTTCAGACTTAGCTGGAGCCCTGGAAATTCATGCTTTTAACAGGGATGTAGATGACACTAAGGACCGCATTAGTGAGAAAGCAGTTATTCTAGCGAATGAAGACACGGGTAAGGACCTCACTCAGGTAGAAGCCTTGCAGCGGAAGCAAGAAACAATACTTCGTGACATGTCGGCCATTGAAAAGAAAATAAAAGAACATGAAAAGGATGCTTATAATCTTGCCAGGAAATACCCAGATAAGAAGGAGCTAATCCACAAGAAACAGACTGAGGTACTGCAAGCATGGTCCAGTCTTATTGAAGGGTCATATGGGAGGAAGGAGAAATTGACTTTGTCGTATACATTACACAAGTTCCACACTGAATTAAGAGAACTAGAAAGATGGGGAGAAGATATTGTGAGTCGTATGAATGCATCACCATTGCCGAGCAACACCGCTGAAGCTGAAATGCTGTTACAGAGTCACCAAGAAAGAAAGGTATGATAAATTAATGGAAAATGTGTGTGTATTTGCTTTGACAGGAAGAGGATTGGGGGGTAAATTAATAAAAAAATGTGGTAATAGCATAAGTTGTACCATTCCACTTCATTGTCTTGAGTTTTTTCAGAGTCTCGTGAAGATAGGTTAAGGATGTTCTTTTGTTCAGATTATAGTTATGAAGTTTCAATACATACAGTCCTACTAACTATGGTTTATGTTTCAGTCTTAGGTCCTTCAAAAATAGTAGAAAATGCTTTTTCAGCCAAGTAGGTTTTAGTGTTATGCAAGATACAGTTGCCTCATTATTACATTACAACTTGGGCCAGTAAATATGTTAATACATGTTAGCTGGAATCCCTGATTCCCAGAACTCTCCAATAGCCAGAATTCAGATCAGCCTGGAGAAATTCCAAGAAAACTCTGTTCCAGGTCTGCGAACAAGTTTACTGGATGAAAATCGGGCACATTTTCAAGAAAAATTCCGAGATTTCTGGGCCAGGGAATAAATTTTACGAGAGTTTCGAGAGATTGCATCATGCTACAACGCGTTCCCATGTGCCAGGCATGTGGGTGGCCTAGGTGCTTGAATCACTTAGTTAAATTCATATTCTGTTGCCGTTGTAGAAAGTTGTTCCCTCCCTAGCTGCTGTTTTTGCATACAATTTGTGATGTACAATACTGTACATTAATGTACAAAGACACAATAAGTGGGAAACCCTGAAGCACCTTAATTTTGTCTTTATACAAGACCTCTTCAGGTCACGAGATCCACTAATCCCCCACCCCGACAATGGGTGACCTGACATTGCATCAAAAGGTCAGTAATATGAGCACTAATCCCCTACCCTACCTCCACTGCAAATGAGAGAAGAGTTTATATACAGTGGGTGACCTGATTGCATCATGTCAGGTCAGTAACATAAGACCCACTAATCCCTCACCCCACCTCCAGTGCAAGTGTTAAAACAAAAAGTGATTACAGTTCCGTATTGCATTCAGTAGAGTGGACAGTATGCCTACTGTAGGCTCAAGATGACAGCATCTGCTGGTGAGTACTGTACAGTATGTATACATTATTTTGTTTATTTAAAATATATTGTTGTGTACAGAGGTGTTTGCATAAATAAATACTGCTGTGTGTGAGATGCATCACTTTGACTCGGGGAAAACTTTCCCCAGTGCAGGATAGAAAATTCCATTGTCTTGGCTGTGACACACAGCTCCATTCATGCCTCGCACGTCTGTATGTTCTAGGTTTTTTAATAATGCATTTATTTAATAAAGCTTTTGGATAAACTATTCAGGATTTGGTAAAATATTGGTGTTTCTAACTAATTGGAACCAATTTTATAGACTCCCGGTATCAACATTTCCAAATTTTTTCATTAAAGAATCGAGTTCCCATTATAATATCGTGTCAAGGAAGTTTTATTGGAATATTGTATAGAATTTATTCAGGATCATTATGTTAAAACATTCATCTCTCTAACCTGATTAGAACAAGATGCTGTGATTAAAATGTTTATAAAAATTTTCGCTAGCCGTAAATATGTATGCTTGCAGCCTCTCGCCTCCAAAATACTTTCATTTGATGGGCTATATCATATAGATTTTTAATCTTTTTAAATATATTTATTGAACAAAACTTTCAGATAAAACTAACTAGGATTAATTTGGTAACAAAATGGGGTTTCTAATTTAATTAGATTTGATTTTATAGACTCCAATATCCACAATTCTTATGTTTTTTCAAAAAAAGAATTTAATCCCCATCATTATATTGTGGAAATATTTTGTTTAAGGATAATTTATTGGAATAGTCTTGCGGTGAATTTATTCAGGATCATTATGGTACCAAATTCGTCTCTAACATTATTAGAACAGATGTTGTGAATAAAAGGTTTTACACGTCTGATAGCTGCAAATATTTTCACTCATGCCTGCAGTTTAAATGTACAGTGGTCCCTCGATTAACGAACACAATTGGTTCCACAGAGTCAGTTGTTAACCGAAAATTTTGTTAACTGAATATTATTTCAATGGAATATTGGGTAATTGGTTCCAACTTGCAGAAAAAGTATACATACAAAGTAATGTATACCAGTAATAGAATTAACAAAACATTAAATATAAACCAAATACAGTACTGTACTGTACAGTATACTGTACAATAAAAAATAAAAAATAATAGAATACTGTATTTTAACTTACTTTGAGGTGTGTATGTCTTATTCCCGGCAGCTTTGTTTACATATCAAACGGCTGATTGTAGAGGCAGTCGATGACATGCCATATTCTTTACAGAGAGCATTGGTTCTAATGCCTTCTTCGTGTTTCATAACAATTTCTGCACTGTATGATATAAATATGTTAACTGAATTTCAGAATGACCAATAATTTTAAAATATAAAATGCAAAATTATTCAAGAGCACAACTTTCTTGATATTTACCCCACTGGAAGAGAATGTAAACATAGAACCAATTACTGTATTGGCGGACTGGCCGATCAGCTGATGCGCACAACAAAGCGTGTTTCTCGTAAGGCTGTTGTTAATCGAAGTTTTGTTCGTTAATGGAATTGAAAATCCTTATGGGAGCTAATTCGTTGACCGAAATTATTTTAATTGAACCGTTCGTTATTTGAGGGATCATTGTAATGGGTTAGTGTTTGTTTGTGAGAGATGAGATAAGATGCGTAGTTTACTGTAGAGTCAAGATGTGATGCGTAGTTTAGACTCTCGGATTCTTGGAAAACTTTCCCTAGCACCCAGAACCATTCCAGGATATGCAGTAGTGTCTGTTCATGCGAGAAGTGTAGCTTAGACTCTCGGAAATTTTTTCCAGTATCCGGAAGAATTCCGGGGATGTAGGATTTTTCCAGGTTTCAGAGTCGTCGTGTTATCCAAAAATCTCTCGTCCCCAGAAGAGCTTTGTACCAATTTTTTCAGCTAACGGGTATCACTTACCATAGATAGAATGGGAAGGAGATAGCCAAGCTAACTTTACTCCATTTTGTACATTTGTACACATGGACATACATCCATTCAGAGATTTTACTGACATTCTTAGTTAATGTACAGTAGTTCCATTGTTCCATTGTGAAAATTTTAATAGTAATGCATGTGTGCTATAATTAAACTTTTTAAAGGTCCTTTCTTTTTATTACCAATAGTTCTTTGAGACAATTCTCAAGAAACTATAGTATTTATCATATAGTAGTAGGAGTAAGGAGCCATATTGGAGACCTTTTTTTGTGTGTGTGGGGACGGGGGCAAAGGCCCAAAAGTCTGCAAGTAATGAAAGTGTATGCTTGAATCCTCTTAGAATATTTTTCCCATATTTAAAATTTTTCTTAACCCCTAAATAGCATGTAAGGATTCACTAATCTGTCCCTATTTGTCTCCAAAAAATGGAACCTTAGGAATATGAAACATCAATCATGCTGACTGCTATCCCTATAGCTAACAGCCATTGATGATGGCTGCCATTTAAGGTTTAAGAATACCTGTAGGTGAGATATGCAGAAAAATATTGTTGGATTTATGAAACTTCACTGAAATAATAGGGTGTGAAGACTACTGCTAGCCAAAGTATGCATGTGAAGGGATTAGTGGCTTGACTGTTTATTTTTCATTTATGGAATTTTTCCAAGGAACTGCATGTCATTTGGCTCTTTTAATAAAATTTGATATGGTTGTAAAGTGCACAAACTATTGCAAGTAAACATTGTGTAATGTGGCAGTTGCGAGTGACCTTTTTATATGAATTTTTCAGGCTGAAATTGATGGCCGTAAAGAAGTTTTCAAGGCTTTGCAGCAGTTTGGAAAGAAACTTATTGCTGATGACCATTTTGCAAAAGAGACTATCAAAGAAAACCTTCAGACATTATTAGAAGTAGAGAACAAGGTAATATTCTTGCTGATGTATAATAGGCTATTTGATATTAATGTAATGAACATTGATCTATGCTCTATGGTAAACAAAGTTTTGCAGGTATTGTGTATGTTGTAGTGTATTAATTGGTCAGACCATAAGATTAGTTACTGCAGTCACTTAGATTTTGGGTAAGATCAAGAAGGTCTTTGATCTTACGTCATTCACTGAAAGGTTTTGTTGAATTTAACTTTATTGTTAGAAAGGTACAACCTATCTCCTGAGAGAAGTTGTAATTAGTTTTGGCTATATTTAACTGAAGTCTTGTATATATTGTATCTTTGGTGTAGTTTCATTGATAGATAGATTAATAATCGTTTTTCCATCAGGTTATTGTCTTCTGGACAGAACGGCAAACTGTGTTATCACAAGCTCATCAGCTACAGGTCTTCCTTGAAATGACAGAACAAGCAAACTCATGGCTGGCCAGTAAAGAAGCCTTTCTCAATAATGATGACCTTGGGGTATGTCACAGGAAAATTGTTACAGTTCTTGGTGGTAGAGGTGCTGAATCATTTAAGTTTTGGTATCATCATTGTAGAGAAAAAACATAACGGTAGTTGCATTCTGGTAGTTTTCAGAAAGGAATTGTTACTTTTTATTTCTTGTAAAGGATTTGTTTTTAACCTTTTCACTGCACTTTGTTAGAACCCCAGCTTACTCACAATACACTTTTTATATATATAAAAAAGGCATATGTAATGTTAGATAACTATATTGAAGAAGGTAACACATTACAATTGGTCTCCTGTTCTCTGTTTTTAAAACTGTTATTCCTTACAACTCCTTGTACTCATTATTTGTGAATTATGAGGCGCAATAATTTTGGCAGTAATTTTTTATACCCTTTTTTTTTCATATGCTCCAGTTCCTTATAACATGGCTGTCTCACTTTAATCTTCGTAATTGTGACTTTCTAAAATACAGGGTATATTCCACTTCTGCAAGTTCTAATACCAGTACATCACTTAGTCTTCCATTAATAATAGTGCTACATGTTGTGTATAATGTGTAGGTTTCTTTGCTGCCTTTTGTTGAGTGTGGAAATTGAAGGAGTAGAATGTTCAGGAAGCATTTTATGCCGAGTTCAGAAGAGTTGGAATGGCAAATGACTGAGTGAGTGATAGTGTAGCAAGTTGCTGGGCCTCATTAAAGATGGTCTGTTAGATGCAGCTGACAATGAATGTTACTGGATAAAGTACCCAGCCAAGCAGGCAATAACATGGTGGTGGAATAATGAAGTGGGCGGAGTGAAAAAGGAGAAAAGAAGATCGTATAAGACTTGGAAGATGGGTGGTGCTAATTAACCCCTTCACTTTTAATATTTTATTTGGCTAACTCTAGGTAATTTCATTCAGCACAAAGAAAACCCATACACAGGGGGTTAATTGTATAGTTGCAGAGATGTCTTTGTACACAAGAGTATGATTGTATGTGTGGAAAAATGGGGATGTCTGTACTCTCGTCTTAGTGAAAATAATAGTGTTAGAGACACATGTTAAAGAAAGGGTGGGTACTGTCCCCTGCACACAGGTCATGTTACATCACAATATATCCAAGTGAAGGAAGGTGGGGGCTCACTGCACCTGGGTCTAGTTATTTAATGACATGCATAAGTGGCAGAGGTTAGTGTAAGTGCCATTGGGGGATGTAGATGAAAGTTGCTGGTAATGAGAGAATGTGGGTGTGTGGAGAGTGTTGGTGATGGTTTTTGGGGAGAAGTTGTGGTTTGTTCTTCAAACTACACTCACACACACTAGACACTGTACTTTTTCCTCACACACACACAACACTCGTTCCTCACACACACTACACTCGTTCCTCACACACACTGCACACTTACACACTACACTCCTTCCTCACACACACTACACTCCTTCCTCACACACACTACACTCCTTCATCACACACACTACACTCCTTCCTCTCACTCACACTACACTCCTTCCTCACTCACTCACGCTACACTCCTTCCTCACACACGCACACTACCTTGCCATGGGCTTTACCAGCTCATGTGTAAGGAGTGTGCATCTAACCACACCCAGGACCTGACCAAACCTCACACGGTGAATATCACCACCACCAGATCATCTCTGGAAAGTGTGCATCTAACTTCACTCATGACCCAAGCACAGACTTTAACTTCAATCCAAGCACAGACTTTAGCCTCAATCCATGCAAATGTCAATTTTTTAAAAGTGGTTTGCAATTTTGTAGAAAACTGCAAATTGCAGTACAAGTGTATTTTTAATTTTTTATTTTTTATTTTTATTTGTTTAGTCGTCGAGAGGTTTATATTAGTTTGGTATAAGTAGAATTATTAAAAGTAGATATTCTGTGAATATCTAACTACAGTAAAAAACCTGAGTACCAGACCACCTGAGCAATGACACATCCAAATAATGACATGAATTTTAGAAACAATTATTTGAAAATTCGAAAAAATTTCTTGTTTCTTGCGAATCATTTTTATGTTGTGGAGTAATGCAGCGTGGACCACATGGTCCCACCCACCTCTCAACAACACAGCCACGTTGCACTCAGTTTACTGTATGCATGGCTATTTCTCTGTGCAGACACGCCTTTTTTCTCATGACATATAAATTTCACACATTGTGAGAACATTGCCCAAGTAAGTACATTCAAGTAAGGCCCCAATAGCAGAAAGTGTCTTACCATGATTGATAAACTTTAAGTGCTAGCCATGGTTAACAGTAAATGTACTGTTCCCAAGATAATGCAGAAATTTGGAACTCTAAATTTACTGAAAGCATATCGTTAGAGTGATCCTCTTCATCTCAAGTGAAAGTGGGTCCCAAGCACACCTGCATTATCATAACTACATATCACATGTTACTGCAGCTATGGCTTTGAGATGGCCGATTCATGTAATGAAACTGTAAAACTGAAAGCTTAAGGAAAATCATTTCAGTACTCTATTGTAATTAAATAAAGGAAATATATTGCATATAAAATTAAAAAGAAAAATGAAGTGCATGAGTGAACTGTATTTTGTGTGGGAGGTGCACACATGTCAGTCAGCTGGGGTCAAAAGTTTGCTGCTGCCCAAGAGGAAGTAGCATCGACCCCAAATGAGGTGAAACAGTCAGGCTGATTAAGTTCGAAGACTCGTTCCCGTTAGTCAGTTTCACCGCGGGGAGTGAACTTTTGTCCTCAACTGTATGTCAGGGCTCGAGAACCTTCAAAAATCTTTGTTGAAATAAATGATGTGTTGGAAACAAATGCTAAGAATGACAGGGGTTTTGAAAACAGATTCTAGCAGGGCAACAGGTAGTGCCACTGAAGTGAAGCAGGAAGACAACACAGGGAAACCAGAGCCTGTTGGTGAACGTATCGAGGAACTAAATGAGAGAAAGAGGGAAAACAACATAGTGGTATATGGTGTGCCAGAATCTGGATACCCAACAAGGAGCGAAAGGATTGAGAGTGATAAATCTTATGCACTGAACCTAATAAAAGAATGTGGCATCACTAGTGGCCAGGAGATAATAGTTAACGTGATTAGGCTGGGTAAATTTATCCAGGGAAAAGCTAGACCAATGCTAATCAAGTTATCTACTGCAGATATAAAGGCCAACCTATTTAGAAACCTCAGGAACCTGCAAGGTAACATGAAATTCCAAGACATAAGAATAGCCAATGACTTGACTAAAAGGGAGAGAGAGCAAGAAGCTGTCTTATGGCAGGAGGCAAAAAACTTAGTGGACTCCGGGAAGGGGAGACGCAGAGTGGTGGGTCCTCCGTGGAGGCAAAGAGTCGTCAAAATAGGGGTCCAAGAGGATTAAGAGAAGTAGTGAGGCCCAAAGAGGAGAAACATGTACGTACCAGTAGTGTAAATAGTGTAAGGAAACTGATTAAAAATAGGAAAAACAAGAACAAAATGTTATTGTAGGTAAATTTCTTATGTTTAGTAATGTGGATGTGTTGAGTTCATACAAGTTAATAGAGTTAAATGCACAGTTGAAGGAGATGGAAAATACTCCGCAAGTAATATCCCTGCAGGAGGTAAAACCAAAACACTACAGATATGAATGGATTACAGCAGAAAATAACCTAGAAGGATATGATAATATAGAGCAAAATCTCCTTAATAAGGAATATATATTTGGAAAGGAACCAAATTTTACAGTGTTGAACTTGATACTAAGTTTTGTGAATATTGGTGTATAGAAGTGCCATGTAGTAGTGGTAATTTACTATTTACCTCCATTTCCAGAAGCCCTAATAGTGATGAAAGCAATAATACTAGTTTGCTGCAACTTCTGCAGGAAGTCCGTGATAAAAATGTGCTTTATAAAATAATTGTAGGTGATTTTAATCTTCCACAAATAAATTAGAGCAATTATACTTCTGTAATGGGACTAAATGATGTTGGTACCATGTTCATTGAGAAAGTATGGGATTGCTTTCTCACTCAACATATAGAGGAAATCACCAGGATAAGAGGAGACAGCATAGGCCTGTTGTTCAGTAACGAAGAATCTATAGTAGGAGATATCAAGCTGGAGAGTCCACTGGAAAAGAGTGACCATGCCTGTATTTATTTCCATTGTGACAAACAGGAGATGGAAGACAAAAGTAAAAAACAAGTGTACATGTATGAAAAAGCAGATTACCTACTGATGAAGCAAAGGCTTACGATGGAGTGGATCCAATACTTATCATTGGAACCAGATATTGAAAGTAAGTGGAATAAGTTCAAAAGAAAATTCCAGGCAGTCATTGACGAGTGTGTCCCTAAGAAGGTAATCAGAGGACTGAGGGTTAGCAGAAAAAAAACAAATGAAAAATTACCTATAAACAGGAAGCTCTGGGCTAAAGTGAAGAAAAATCAGACTGTGGGAGAGACTGAAAACAATGAAAACGAAGTTCAATGAAAGACCATGCACGAGGGAGATGTATCTGAAAACTGAAAAGGAATACAGGAGATTAAATAACCAGGTCAGATGGGAAACTAGAAACATCTTGAAACGCAAAGAACAAGAGATTGCGAAAAATGTTAAGGCAAATCCAAAAGTGTTCTGGAAGTATGTACAGACAAACAAGAACAAAAGCTAGAATTGCAGTTCTTTACAAGGATGAGGAAAAGTTACAGAAGACTGTGAATGATCAAGAAAAGGCAGATGTACTCTGAGCAATTCTCACGAGTTTTTATCAAGGAACCAGATAAGGGGATACCAACAGCCAACAAGAAAGACGTGCCAGCTCTTCAACACCTGGAGATAACCGAGGGCAAAATAAGAAAGGTGATTCAAAAATTGAAAAGACAAAAGTCTCCTGGTCCAGATGGGTTACATCCAAGAGTCATTAAGGAGATGATGGAGGAACTACTTCAGCCTCTGAGGATCTTGTTTGAAAGCTCTTTTCAAGAAGGAAATATACCTGAGGACTGGCATATTGCATATATCACAGCTATCTATAAGAAGGGAAGTAAAAGTGA